AGCTTTCAAATGAACCCATATATGGGCTGATACCATATAAGGAAGGCTATGTAAATGAAGCATAAACATTTTTAACCCGTATCCAGGTCCGCAGAGTTTAACTGGTTTTAAGCCAAATCTGCCCGCTTTCGATACTCCACCATTTATGTAAGGAATTTAACTGTTTTATTTGAACTCTTTTCAGAGGGGGAGTCAAATTTGAAGATTCAAAATCACCCTGATTTAACTGATTCCAAATTTGATAATTTACACTCGTCCAGCGAGACGTTAACATCAGTATATCTTACCAATTTGAATATTTGTACTATCCCTGGCCACAGGTTAATACATGCTTGTGATAATTTATAAGTTACGAACTAGGTAGCTGGATCTGGGCAGGGTTTAACTTTGAATTCACGACACAAGACAATGATTCTTATAATGAAACAGGAATTTATTGGCTATCTAGATTACATTAAACTAAACTAATGCAAACACACACACACACACATACGGTTCAAAGGATGAGGATTTTAACGGAGTTCTGAGGAAGTCCCAAAATTCTAGTAAGCTACTAGTTCTGAGATCGCACCAAGAGAATCAAAAAAGCAGAGATTTGTCTTAACATTACTGCTTAAGATCAACTCAGCACCGATTTCAGCAAGAGATGAAAGCTGTGTTTGTTACTTGCGTTTTAGTGACAGCTGAGCGGAGTTTTTCCAGTTGCTGGCTTTTCCAGGGAATCTCAGCGCCTTTGATTGGTTGCTGATCTGCCGTTTGGATGACGTCGTTTCTGGGGATGCCCTCCTGGAGAATGGAGGTTGCCTTGTGACGTAGGAGCTTCGAAAGTCGGTTGCCTTAGGTGCGGAGAGTGAGGCTTGAAGTTCTTCTGAGAGTTCCTTTGCTTGGCTTTAGACTTTAGAGTTCGGCAGTCGCAGAGTTTCAACTGAAGTGTTTGAGTTCTGAAGTCTCGCTCGCGTGATGTTACAGCATGTAAGCGCTTTGTAGCGCGGTCACCAAGGCGAAAAGCCAAAGATCTAGAGAGAGCGAGCATCTATTCAGGCATCGGGTTTTTAAGCGAGCCGATTTGGTCCATCATTGTCCCAATCGGATGCTGTTGCAGGGCTTAGCCACGCCCTGTGTGGTTCCTTTTTCGTGCATAAATTAAAATTCTGTTCAATTCATCACATGGGGAAATGTCTTTGCAGGTTTTGTTAATAACTTCTATAAAGTGTCGTACAACACCCACTGTTCAAAATAACAACTTTTCATTCATTTCAATGTTCTGCAATTATCACAAGTTTTCATTCAACACTAAACTTCACATATATTACACACATATTAAATGCTTTATCTGCTAAAAAGGGTTATAAGGCAAATATTAAAATATAGATTCCAATAAACACATCAAACATATATACGGCATAACACATACAGTGGATACATTTTCACTACTTATGAGTTTTTAAATTATTGTCTTTTAAACTTGGTCCATGCAATGTCTGCGTTTCCTCTGGGAGGCATAGCGAAAGATAAAGAGAGAGGGGAGGAATTTCCTGAGGTCCATAAAAGTCACGCGGTGGTTTGCTGAGTTTGATTGAATCACGTTATCACTGTTCTTTAGATCCGTTGTTTTGCAAGCCTGAGGGTATCAGTGAAATATCCTTCCTGTGCCTACACTGGTTCCATTCATTGGCGATCACAAGACATCACGAGATATCTATAGGTTGTGATAAAACTCAGTCCTCAATATAAAAAGATCTCTGTTGTCTCCTGATTGGATTAGTTTAGACCTCGTGATGAGTTGATTCAATGGCGTATCTGTGTCTTTTCGATCAGAATCCTACACCATGAAGTTTCATTTTGCAGAATTTGAAAGGTTATTGAGACATGACTGCTGTTATAAAAGGAAGCTCCTTGATTCTTCACGAGTTCCATCACACACACTTTATCACATCGCTTTCACTTGCACAGTTCTCCCACACGCGCACTGCTCGCTCTCCAGCCACCCTGAGCTGATATTGTTGAAGATTGAAATTCTCTTTAATACCTCGCCGAGTGAACTTGTTCCTGGGGTTCATGTCTTTATCCTTCAAGAAGTAATGGTATTTTAAAACAGAGTGGAGAGAGGACGATAACGTTACACCTGAATGAGATCTCTGTAGAGGTCCCTCTGAAGGGGTTTCATTCACGTACTATTTATTGAATGAGTTGTGAACAGATATAGCTTGTCTGTTCACAGACAGCCTTGAAATATTAAATATATCTAAGTGGACTATATTTTGGCATGCATATAAGAAATATTTTAGATCTATTTCTGAATTAGCGCCACTTGAGCTTTTCTTTTTCTGATAGCTGCTGACTACAACAATTAAATTATTATTATTTTGCCCACTGGCTTTCAATAGGGAAATTAGGAATCGTATAGCAAGTCTGCCTTTATACTGAAATTACAGAATGGCTTGTTGAATTGAGATATTCTTGGTTTGAAAAGGGTATTATGGGAAAGTTTTGAAAGATATTCAGATTCCTGAATACAGTCTGTAAGTCAAATACATGGTAGGTCTTGGCTTAATTGACCTTTTAACATGTGCAGTGTTTAATCTAAAAAAAAATACTATTGCCAAATGTTGAGGTGAATTAAAGCAATGCAGTTTACATGTTTGAATCATGTCCATATGGAATATCAGAAAAATGTTTGACCAGATCTGTGTGAAATGTAAATTCAGTGCTTGAATTTTTTATTAAAATCACTGTACTTTGCACTGCCATGAAAGCAGTTTGGACATAGCTGAAGCTCTCGATCATACGACACACTGGCTGGCTCTGTTTTGTGGTTTGTTGAATAGCTTTGACGCTGTCAGTTGTAATGTTCTTACAAAGAGTCTTAACATTCACTTTTCTGACAATGTGGTAGGATGGACTGTTAAATATTTTACAGATCAGACTCATAGCATCCAGCATATGGTCTCACACCTGAGGTCACAACAGTTGGTTCCCCAAGGTTTAGTGCGGCACCTAGTTTTGTTTATGTGGTGTGATTTTACTGAACATTTACACCTTTGTTGTATTCACTAAATGACCGCAGTTCAGTTTAACCCAGTTATGACAGTGCTGAAATGGTATTTAAAATTTAACAATATTATAATAAATTTGTTAATAATAAAATATAACAATATTAAAATAAATTAGAATAGAAATATAAACCTTTCCTATGCAAACTAAGCTCATTATAGAATAAGCCTTATTCACAAAATTCTAAGTACTATTTTTCAACCATAAATTCTTCTCTACTTCTACTTTCCATGTGGTATGATCTATCATTAATGCTCGGTAATAATTAGTTTCAAATTTAAATCAGTTTAATACGCTGGGAGCTTGTTTGTGTGTGTGTGTGTGTGTGTGAGAGAGAGAGAGAGAGAGAGAGAGAGAGAGAGAGATTTTAATTTAGTTAAATCAGTTCAGGGAGATATGTTACTACAAATGTTATTTTCCTGAATATACAAGACTTGCCTTTTCTTTTGTTTGTTTTTACGTGCTGGATTTTTGTATTTTTGTATTTTTGAATGGATTCAGATCCAATTTCTGATTGCAAAACTTGGACAGAACCAGCCAAAAAAGGTTTCTGCATCATGGAATAGAAATATGCAATGAGTGTAGGCTTAGTATTTGGTCACTGTCAATGCATTTTAATCCATTATACGGTTCAAGGAATCAAATGTAAATGTTTAATTGTGTATATTTGAGTCTAAGTGTGTATAAAGCTTTTTCTGCTGCTGCCATTTTTGGATAGGTTCCTTTTGTAGATTTATTTATTTTTTATCTCAAATGTACTTGTCAGGTTAAATAAAGGTTAGACAATGATTTGGAATGTTAGGCAGTCTAGACAATGGGCAGATAACAAAAGAATTGCACTGTCTACTCCAACCATTTCTTTTCAAGCATGTTCTACTTCAAAAAGCCTGCTTGAGTTGTTGAAGCTTGAGTTGTTGAATAATGTTGCTTCTATTAAACACAATTGTAACTATCAGGAAAAGAGTCATGTATGGGCTTGGATCAAATTAAATAATCAAGAAGCAGTGGAAATGATTTGCATTTCAGATGAATAATTCCACACCTTTCTTTCTTCCCCATCTCCTACAGTATTTTTGTATTGGTTGATACAGAAGCTTCGGGAAAACATCACTATCGGTTTCTCTGAACTTTGTCCTTCATGGCCTGGAGGAGATGTGTGCAGACTTGACACAGAGGCTTAGGATGATGAGATGTTGCTGCTATCTTAAGGAGCACCTTGGACTCAAACCATATTATGATGACAGCTGGTTGTTCCAGGAAGAAGAATCAAATTCTCCTTGATCTTTCGAGATAAAAGTCGTACTTGATGTACCGTGAAAACATACTGTAAGTTTCATAAGTCAAAACTTCCTCCTAAGCTGCAAAAACGATGTTTCTGGCATAAAAAAATGTTATAAGTGCACATTGAAGATTATTTTTATTTTTTTAAATAATAAAAACATATTTGATATGACCCCTTTAAAGTATATTCACTTTGATATTTCCATATCCTACCAACCAACATTTTATCACTTTTTCCGTGATATCGGATCTTTCATGTGTGGGTTCATAAACATTGCTGATTTAAAAGTGTATTTATTTTTCATGATCTGCTCTTGGGACTTGATTCAATCATTGCTTCCCTGAAAGTGGATATCTGAGTGTTTATCTTTCATCTTAGGCTGGCCGCACACTAGACGATTTTCAAATCTTAAACGTTTTTAAAACCATGGGAGACCACAGACATGAAGACAGTTCATTTGATTTTTAGCCTTATAATCTTCTGAACGCACACACTAGATGATTCGACGAGACCGCGAGACCACACACTTGTCGATTGTAGGAACGATTTCACAGTGACATGTGATCTCACGGACACTCGTGAGATCAAACGTGACTAGAGAAGAAAAACAAATAGAGGACAATCAACGATGTCAGCTGGCTCTCCTGACGCGTGTTCTGTTTCACAGTGAAAGAAAAAGTATAGAAAAGAATATGGGTGATGTTCTTTGCTTTCATGGCATGTTTGTGGCTGCCAAGTTTCAGCTATAGAAGCACGCAACATCCGGTTAGTGACTCTTGCTCGCTCTCATTGGCTATTGTGGGTATCACGTCAGAGGCAGCCCGATCAAGAGTCATAAATATCGAACATGTTTGATATTTACGATTTCAGTTTGGGGAGACTCCGTCTCGATCGGGAGCAGTTAAATAATCGTAATAACACCACACAATAAAGGATTTTTTTTTTGCGACAAGCTGTGAATCGGGCCATACCTCCCGATCGTTCGAGGGTGCAAATCTGGCTTAAAATCGGCTAGTGTGCGGCCAGCCTTACTTAATGTCATTCTTATTGAAATAGGGCAGGGGTGTCAAACTCAATTCCTGGAGGCCCAGGGCCCTGCCTAGTTTAGATTCAACCCTAATTAAACACACCTGATCCAAGTAATCAAGTCCTTCAGGCTTATTTGAAAACTACAAGGTATGTGTGTTGGAGCAGGGTTGGAACAACACTCTGCAGGGTTCCGGCACTCCAGGAATTGAGTTTGACACCCCTGATACAGGGGAAATAATTTTATAGCATATTTGAATAAATGCACATCCTTTTTGGCTAGTAGTGCAAAGGAAACCTCTTCTTATTGTTTTCTTGTGCCATTAATATTCCCTTACCAGTGACAGGGCAACAACAAAAATATTTATAACTTGAACATGCTCCCTTGGAGGCTACAGAGGTATAATTCAACTAAAGGAGGAGAAATGGAAACAAACATCTGTCAGAGGCAGTGTTTTATACAGAAGATTTAAAGTGAAAGTTCTCCCAAAAAATTAAAATTCTGTTATCATTCTGACAAACAGTTTATGGTAGCCATTGACTTTCATAGTATGGGAAAACTAATAATAATAATAATAATAAGCTACCATCAATTATTTGGTTACCAACATTTTTCAGAATATCTTCTTTTGTGTTCAACAGAAGACAGAAACTCACGCAGGTTTGGAACAACACGAGGGTGAGTAAATAATGATAACATTTTCATTTTTTGGTGAATTATCCCTTTAAGAGAAGCAGCAGAACTATCCGTTTTTAGAAGAAACAGTCGAATAACAGAAAAGGACAGCAGCTTGTAAGTGTTTTGTTTCATTTCTCATTAGATTTTAGCGCAGTTGTTGTTGCTAGAAAACATTGTTTTGCTTACTGTGCTTTAAAAACATGGTTGTACTCATTTTTCCATCTCAAAAATATATCTAAATTACGACCTATGCTCTCAATGTCAAATGCAGAAATGTTAATCCATGTGTTTATGACCTCAAGGTTAGATTATTGTAATGCTTTATTGGGTGGTTGTTCTGCACGCTTAATAAACAAAAC